AGTAGCCTGCAGTGCTGCATTTAACCACTGCGCCACCTTGGCAGCGGCAACATCAACAAACAAAACAGCATAATGAAATAAGAGAAAGTGTGGCAGGCCAAAATTCTAAAAGGAATGTAATTGCAGGCCTGATAACTAAATCTGCCTGGAAGACTATGTGCATGTGCGGATGGCGCGCATGCTCCCATTTCCGGGGCTGGGCAAACCGACTGTTACATTATGTGATGCCCACCTCTGCCCCAGTGTTCAGTCACTCCAGGTTTGCTGCAGTGGTGGGTTCCGGATCCTGTTGCAACAGGTAGAGTGCAACGGGGCCCGGCGTCCACCACATGAACGCGCACAGTATGTACTTGCATGCGTCCTTACCTCCTGTGACACTCCACGATGCCTCCGCGATGCTCCAGCTGCTTGGTGGAGCGTTGCGCAGTCACTGTATGCTCCATGTGCGTGTGCAGAAGCGCCGAAGAGCTCAAATAGGGGTAAGGGGAGCAGGTAGGTGGGTGGGCCCTCCGGAGCACCGTACCGGAACGATACCTGGTGCTCCCGGCAGGCACCGGTACGTCCGTACTGGGGCGTACTGCCTGCAACCCACCACTGGTTTGCTTCTGCCTGGGGACAATCCCTCTCCTTCCCAGCTTCCCTTTGGCTCTGGAGGACTGACTTTTCTCTCCTTCCACCATAGGGGCTTCGGCTGACGGTGGAACAGTTTAGAGTGCCCGAAAGGCAGATTCTCGGTGACCTGAATAGTAAGTCTCCTTCTCTTCTGCTGCAGATGCTTGGTGAGAGATTTTTCTCACCAATACAGCCTTTTGTGTTAGGCCGGTGACATAAACATACAAGATGTGCAATGCGGCCCATCTGCCTTTTGCAAACAAAAGTTCAGGTGCTTTCCAAAGGGAACGGTTTATTTTTGGCCCCGAGTGAATGCTTTGGGGTTGAATGGGAAGAACAGGGATTAATACTACATAAACTGCTGCAGTTCGTCCTTTTCTCAACTGTCCAGCTTTAGCAAAAGGCAGAAGCTTTTGTGAGCTGCAGCTGAGGCAGGAAGTGAAAAAGAAAGAGCCTGGTGAAAAAGAATAAAGCTCCAGGAAAGAGTGCGGAAAAGGGGCAACCAAGATGATTTGGAGGCTAAATTGTACAATGAACGGTTAAGAGAACTGGGTAAAACTAGCTGACAAAGTGAAGGATTAGGGAGGGACATGATTATTGTCTTCTAGCAATAGCATTTAGATTTATATACCACTTCACAGTGTTTTACAGCGCTCTCTAAGTAGTTTACAGAGTCAACCTTTTGCCCCCAACAATCTGGGTCCTCATTTTACCCACCTCGGAAGGATGGAAGATTGAGTCAAGGATTGAATTCCTGGCAGTGGGCAGAGTCAGCCTTCAATGCTGTATTCTAACAGGAAGGAAGGAAGGAAGGAAGGAAGGAAGGAAGGAAGGAAGGAAGGAA